CCTGCAGACATTATGCGCACATCACACATCGTGAAACGTTTTGTGGACCCACAAATGTATATAAAAATTCAATATAATTTCTGTTATCATCTTTGTACGAATTTATGTTATATATGCTCAACGGATCTGACCCCCCCCCCCCCTATTACCGAAAAAATGCCTGTTTTTATAATCAATGTTATTGTAAATATAAAGCCGAACGCATATCAAATAAGCCATTCAAAATTCGAACCCTTCACCTACATTACAATATATACCACTGGAAGGACTTAATAACTATTCTGATGGTTCCTCTGTGCTCAATTACTGTTTTACGTCATTGGCGGTTGTCATTAGCAACGCTTGAAATGACCCGAACGTGCCTGTATAGGATCATTTCAATACATGAAATAGATTGTCGTGACTTTGATGAATTTTCATATGAAATTATTCGTGCAGTTTGTGTGAGATTTGAAATCCCTTCTGCGATTTAATTTTCGAAGTATTGTTCCGGAACACGTGTTGGTTCTGGAAGTTACTGACATCGTAATAAATGAATGTCCACTATGTTCTGATATTGTAAGTGTGAAGTGATAAGAAATTTAATCTTGGCTTGAAAATAAAAATACGCGTAAGACATAGTGACATATAATCAGATAATTTCTATTCATTGTTACAATATTGATTTGACATGTTCAGGATTGAATGAACATCACAATGGCTGGTGTCTAGAATTTAATATACTAATAAATTGCTTCGGCATTCTCCATTACATCTTTTTTAATGAGTAATGAACCCAAAGTGTACATGCTCAACCCTAATTTTGCACTAAAACGATTTGTTATGAACTTAAATTAGAAGGTCTACCGTCGGTCATGACAATACTCAAATGTCAAACAGGAATTTTTTACTTTGCTCAGCGTTATTTATTTTTTATTTATTTATTTAATTATTTATCTTTTGTTTAGTTTTGTTTTCTATTACGTTACTCTTTCGGCGCAACCATCTTGTTAAAGAAAAACATATCAGACAAGGGAAGTAACTCTTCCGTCTCGGCTCATAGTTACTCTACACTTCTTCTTTACTTTTGGAATCATACGTAAAAGTTTCACATCCTAGCTAATGATTGTACTATTTATATATAATAATCTTTTCTGTAACAGAACATGTGTAGCTAATGAAATAGCAATACAAATGTATGTTGGTTTTCAAGCTGTATGGAAATAAATATTTAATAGAGAGGAATGTAGATCATAAGAATGTGACAGCCTCCCGCGTAATGTTCATTGGGATAACCAACCGCTGTAATCAGGGTACCCAGCCACAAAATGGCCATAATTGTACAAAGAGCCAAATGGCCCTAATTTAAACAACTATAGTCGACCCGATAGCAAATCCCACATCGGCCCGATATAGCATCCACTTTGCAGAATTGATGTCGGACCGATATCGGTAGCCCACATTGGGCCGATAATGTTGACGAGAACGAGCCGATATTGGGCGGATGTACAATGTTTGCTGGGTAATTATGTAGTCCGTTACATTCAATTTCTTAATTGTCAAGCAATGAAAACTCTGAAAGTTGGTTATATGTCGATTTGATATTGTTTTCAGTTTGTTCTTTAACGTCCAAATACCTTTGGTATAAATTGTGTATACAAGCGATGGCCTAGTACAGTACAGCGGACACATTGTGATTGGACCTCCATTGAAACTCTGGCCACGCCGATACAGTACATTACTCGAACTCTGGCAATAGAAATAAGTATCCATTATCGAGCCTAATTGGAATTTACACAAAAGGCTAATGGATCTCCAGTGAAAGCTTATAAAATCTCATGGCATAAACTGTTTTTGTTGAAACTTGATAGGATGGTTACCAACCGAGGATTGCGTGTACCTGTATATGTGACCTTGCACAAATATGGCTTGACTGATCGCAAGCTACTTAAGGATATATGCTACCTCACACAATATTCGTTTGTTTTATATTCTTAAGGACAAAACTGACCGCAACAGCTTATCCTAGTGGTATGAAGTGTTATTCAGTACATTATATCAACATTTGTAAGTCTTTGTCACTACACGTAAATAAGTCACTAGAAAGAAACGTTATTCTCATCCATTGGCAGTTCCTTGTGACGTCATACTTATAGCTATTTGCCGTTATTATCAGACTGTCGGTATATTTTCACTGCGCACCGTCGATGTGTACATGACGCCATGCTGATCCTGTGAGCAATCGTAGTCATGGGTTGATAAATATCAGCCTCTCTGACAGTTTAATATAAAGAAATTGTCTAGTTAGCATATATTACTCAAATGCTAACACTAAATTAGCATACGTGTATGTAATCTAACCATTTTCAATAACATAAAATGGGTTGATCTGTTAACTGCACGAGAATTCGTGAAAGTTGTTAATATTCTGTACATTTGAAGTGAGAATGTGCTCACTGACTGTATATAGTAAGTATATTGTAAGCATACATTATCTGACTGGCAGTTGGCATACGTTAACTGTCTACATTAAGTTGTATTGTATGCTACCAGACAATCTAAAACTAGTAAACATAACTACACTGTAAAATGTCAACAATAAATCGGAAACCCTTACACGACTGTCATCATTAAGTTTAGCAAACATTGTTTGATTATCAGGAGTAAGTTAGCAAACATTGTTTGATTATCAGAAGTAAGTTAGCAAACATTGTTTGATTATCAGAAGTAAGTTAGCAAACATTGTTTGATTATCAGAAGTAAGTTAGCAAACATTGTTTGATTATCAGAAGTAAGTTAGCAAACATTGTTTGATTATACATTGTTTGGGGTAAGTTAGCATACAGTGTTTGATTATCAGAAGTAAGTTAGCAAACATTGCAGAAGTAAGTTAGCAAACATTGTTTAATTATCAGAAGTAAGTTAGCAAACATTGTTTGATTATCAGAAGTAAGTTAGCAAACATTGTTTGATTATCAGAAGTAAGTTAGCATACATTGTTTGATTTTCAGGAGTAAGTTAGCATACAGTGTTTGATTATCAGAAGTAAGTTAGCAAACATTGTTTAATTATCAGAAGTAAGTTAGCAAACATTGTTTGATTATCAGAAGTAAGTTAGCAAACATTGCTTGATTATCAAGTAAGTTAGCAAACATTGTTTGATTATCAGAAGTAAGTTAGCATACATTGTTTGATTTTCAGAAGTAAGTTAGCATACATTGTTTGATTATCAGAAGTAAGTTAGCATACATTGTTTGATTATCAGAAGTAAGTTAGCAAACATCGTTTGATTATCAGGGGTAAGTTAGCATACATTGCCTGATTATCAGAAGTAAGTTAGCATACATTGCCTGATTATCAGAAGTAAGTTAGCAAACATTGTTTGATTATCAGAAGTAAGTTAGCATACATTGTTTGATTTTCAGAAGTAAGTTAGCATACATTGCGTGATTATCAGAAGTAAGTTAGCAAACATTGTTTGATTATCAGAAGTAAGTTAGCATACATTGTTTGATTATCAGGAGTAAGTTAGCATACACAGCGACGGTAAGACAATATGAATGGTGTACAATGCATTATACATACGCATATTACACACAGTCAGACGGGTAGCATATATCCTTAAGTCTATAGCAATGTTTAATTTTATAACCTAACTATAAGTATCTTATATAGGACGTGTAAAGTATTACACACATATGTATGCTATATACATGTATATGTTATTTGTAATTCACAATATCATAGATATTTTTTCTGTATATCTGTATTAGGTGAAGTATCTAAGACACATTATGACCATGTTTTACTGGTAACAATTCGAATAAAATTTCGTAAGTATTATTTTAACAGTGAAAAGAAATTATTTCACATGCATCACTCGTTCAACTCACAATCATAACACTAATATACATGTAACGATAAATGAAAAATATCTTCGACAGACGAAAATAGAAATTGAAATATCTCCATATTAAGCTCAAATCATCACTCTTTGAATATTCGAAAAATAAAAAGTATATGAAGACATATTTCTACACCTAAAAAGGGAGAGTAAGTGTTTGGCGTTCGCGTATTATTTAAGAAACCTTTGATACAGTAGTGTAGAACCTTGGACTCAGCACGTGATTTCATGTATCGGTATATAGGTAAATAAAAGCTCAAAGACTGTATCGATTTATCGACACAATGGGGGTGTCCCTGTATCATATGAACTGGTAAGAAACCTTTGGTGGCCATGATTCACAGAATATTCAATCAACTCTCCCAGAGCTTACAGCTTTACAGGTGTATTATACTGGCAAATAGTGACTGGCATTTTACCCGTGTGTCGAAGACAATAGAAGAATTCAGTCGACTGTGTTTATTCAGAAACATCTGTATATATTATCATACCAAAGAGTACACATTTTGTAACAATGGGTTAAATCGTATTAAACGCCCCCTGTCCTTCGTTAGTGTATAAACGTATACCGAGAGCTAGGCTATATAGGAAACTAAGATAGGACTTGTGTAAATGGCGCAACTGAACCGAGAACGATAAATGAAGATTCTGGCAACAGTTGCGGAATAGAAATGTGAACAAATCATAACATAATCTAGTGTGTCGTATTGCAAATCTCCATACGGTGTTGATCTTAAAACCTAATGGTATACACACATAAAATTCATACAGATTCGTACAGGTGTGAGGACAGGTAACATAAAACAGGTAACAATACCTATATACAGGTGTGCCAAAAGTCTGCGACACTCGTCCGGTGGTAGTCTACATAGTCAATAAGTAGATATTCTAAATCACTACTGAATATGTCTCACAGTTGTTCATTATATCAGTGCTAATGGCGTCTCTGATTATTTGAACCCGTTTTAAACTCCCTTTCGCACATTATAAATTCAGAGGAAGATCTACACTAGTAATTTTTGATAGCTATGTAGAAGATTTATGAATACCTCTAGTACTAATATAAACCACTGCATATTCATTTATGCAGCTCGTCGGAAAATAATCCAGTAAGAAATTACACAGTCACATCTGCTTCCACCGCGTCGCCATTCCCTTCAGTAGGAGCAGTCACAACTTCATCCTTCTCCTTGAGTTCCTCAGGGGCATCCGCGTTAGCCGGGAGTGAAGGAGGATCTTGAAGCGCCATCTCGGTCTGAGGAACCGTAACGGAGGAGAGTATCTCGCCGTTCAAGGTTTTAGGTGCACGTGTGGAGCGCGTGCTTTTAAAACTGCTTTTGTTACTAAGATAACCTCCGACACTTCCGTCCATTCCATGGGTAAGGGTTGACCTTGACCGCGCACCCAGGTTCACACGTGCAGTGGTAATGGAATCGAGTTTATTATTAGACCCACTGTCAATATTTGGCAGAATCAGCGGGGCGAAATGGTCATTTCGCGGACTGTTGTAATGATCAAGCTGTACTTGTCCATTGATTCGTTGAGATGCTAAGTATTTTGCCCTGTTGTATAACCTTTCAGCATACTGAGGCATGGTAGCTTGTGTGGTTTTTTCAACTTTTTGTTGGTGTTTCACGTGATGCCGATAATGTGTCCGACCAAGGTCAAATCGAGATTGGTGTTTCATCACTCTTCTGGCGGGAAAATGTTTATAACTTCTATCAAAAACCAGTCGCGGAGACTTCATAACAGGCGACTGGGACGGCGAATTCGATTCGCTAAATTCCGGATTTTCTTCTTCGGGAAATCCATGATATGTTTTTTGTCTTTTGGACATAAAGTTCGTACGATAAAATTCCGCTTCTCTTGCTTTCCTATTTTCCGCGTCCAAAAGACTGCACTTTTCCGTTAGTTTGTTGGACAAATCAGCAACTTCTTGTTCCCTACAGCGTTGATTCATATCCGTCAACATCTGCTGCTGTTTACCAAGCCTACGTCGCTCAAAACTATTAGAAAGTTCCATGATGGCGACTTTCTCCGGAGTCGGAAGCCTTAATTTGTGATCTCGATAGGTCGAACCGTATCCCATAGTTTTTAGATTGTCCCGTGTGGGATCTGTTAGGAATGGTGGCCGAGGTTCGAATTCCTCTAAACACACTGTGGATGTAAACAGCCTCATTTTGACTTCTGATGTATCTTAGCTCACAGAAATCGTACACACATGTATCGCATGATAGTTACGTACCTGAAGTCATGTCGTTATAATCCCATTGGGGAATATCCCGAGGAATGTCCGATTTACATTTTACAGCAAAATCTCCCACAACTAGGTCGTTGTCACCTCTGTTCGAAATCTCTACTCAGACACGCGTGGAGATATCCTTTTTCACTAGCGTGTGTATTTTATATCCAAAACTTCCTTCAACATTTGGTATGCTCAGTAGATTTTCAAAATGAACACCAGTGTGTTTGTAACTAAGCGAAATTTAAATCCAAGAGAAATACTAGCGATTACCTGCCTTAAAGAAACATTTTAATACCAACAACGAGTGTTGGTTTAACGATTAACGGTCCGTGAAACTTCACTGTTAGCTCTCAACTACTTACTTATCAAACACACGGTGGTATTACCCTTCTGTATATAACGTTATTGTTCGGGTTTCCCTATATATATCAATATTGAGTGTATACCTTATGGAAGTCGGCGAAGCTTGACAAGTATTATATTTCCTTATCGAACTCGACCTATACACCAAAGTCTACCTACAAACTAATGTCTGGAAGTCTCAACTGCGCAAGACAAAACCAAATCTGGCTGGCGTTGATACAGCTAGGATCATTAATAATGAAATGTATAGCTTCTTAAGATTTGAAAAAATTGAGGTATTTAGTATAAACCAAAATGTTGGCACGTATATCGGAAAATGTGTGTAAAGTAGCGTCAAGCCGTGTGGATCAATACTATTGTGACGGGTATACCAGCTCGGGCTACCACGAGTAGATAATGGAATGTTTTGTTTAAATGTGAAAGTGCTGTATTACCTGTAGAGTTTCACTCGAGCAGCACAAGATATTGATAAGATTTACATCAGAATAATTTACATGTCCCCTCTGTGAATTTTGTTGTATAGCTTTTACTAGTCATCAAAACTGCGGCAACCGCACACTTCCTATCTCTACAGGTGTGGATATACATATAGTTACCTTTAAACCCCCTAAAAAACACAAAAACAACAACAGCCGCGGGCATGTTCTCTCTTTATAATAAACAATAACACAGGTCACAGCCGGTCGTAAGAGTACTAATTTATACATGTAATAAAATCACAACAACGCTCACTATATCCTGTAGTTACGCACGTATGTCAATCATCTTCAGAGTTCAATTATGTGTATACGTCTGTAATTTTATAATTGTCTTTATCCTATTCTCAAGAAAGAGATTTGGTTTTGCCAAATGGAAATTGCATATCTCCGTTAAAATACTGAAGGACTAGATCGTGTTAAAGTGCCTGTAATAAGTCTGCTTTGTTAGCGTAGAAATTTTGAAAGAATGGGCGTGATTTTTACAGCCTTATTCGCGGGACACTGACCGGCTTTCTTCGACTGCGTGTTATAAAGAGTGAAGCAATTAAATCATGTGCTATCATGGCTGTGTTCTCGAGAATACCTATGATCTCAGTTGTTTTGGATATGTACGCCAAGCCTCACGTGTGTGTTTTCAGTGAAATAGCAACCAGCTATTGCAAGGAAACACCTCCTCGAAATGGCCCTGTTGTCGCCTGGCGATTAAACAAAAAATAGACAAATAAACAAATGCACACAGTTATGGCATTGACCAAGAGAGAAGTGTGCATTACCGCTTTCCTTGGGCATTGATTACCGGCTTGTGTTGTCGCGGTTGTGTTCTCAGGAACACCGATTACCTCGGTTGCTTTGGATGTTTATGGCGAGTCTCCCGTATGTTGATCAGTGAGGTAGCTACCAGATATTGCAAGGAAACATCATCTCGTAATGTCCCTGGTGTCACCGTTTTCCTCGAGAATAACCAATGGGTAAAACGTCCTAGCTGTAAGAATAAAATTCTTAATTATATATAATCTAATAAAAATGCTCAAGAGAAAACAAAAATTAAAGTAAAGATGTTTTTGATATTTTCCCATTACAAATCCGACGGGAAATAAAACTTAACTTTACACGTGATTTTTTTTATAATGGGTTCAACTGGAAGCAATGTATAACCAGCATTGAAAACGAAGATTTTTTTTCCACAACTTTAAGAAATAAATAGAATTCATATTCCTTAAGACAAGAAATACAACAAACAGAAATTGTATTGTTGGATTAATTCACATAATATTTTTATGCAAGGTCGAATACTTACCAGAGGTCTTCAAAGTTACATGTCATTCGCCTTTAACTGTTACGTCATACACATTAGATCACGTGGTTAATGTTACTATGACGTCACAATTGCAGTGACGTACCATAGTTACTGATATGCGCCTTTGCATGTAACGCTAACAATTTCATGAGCGATTTAAGACAATATATATCATGGGAAGATCATTCAAATCTCGAGCTTTGAAATATTTCTCAAGATTGAAGAAGATAGTGTGTTGCTGCACCACTAAGGTAAGGACGAGGTAAACTATATGTTTACCAGTAATATAGTTATTTGCTTCTAACTCCCGCGTTTTTCACAATTCATGATCTGAGTTCCATCGTTTCTGTATTTTTGAACCACATGTATATAACACTTTACTTATGAGTAGTAATTTCTATATCATTTAATTTAATCAACCGACCAAACATTTTACCAATACTATGGTTCTTTCTGTACCTGGTTAACAATTTCAGTACACACAGGGCATGCAGACCAGATTAGGATTCGAACTAGGCACACCTAAACTGACCTGCAAGATTTACATATAGGCCAGATCCTTTATATATATATCATGGTTACACAAGATGAAACCTATGGATGCCGGCTACCGAACAACGCCTCAATATTCTCGGCAGATGCGCAAGCTATCTACCTCGCCCTTCAATATATTCAAAGAAACAAATTAATGAGAACTGTTATCCATTCAAACTCTCTTTCTGTTCTACAAACTCTTGGCAATAGAAATATCGAAAATATTTTCATTCGTTATACCTTAATGCTTCATGAACTTGCTTTTAACTAACATATTGCCTTTTGAGACTATAGAAACTATTATATGGACCAACATCTTTCAGATAATGTAGCATTTTACAAATCTCAACAGTTTCAAAAAGGGATTTTAGACATGTAATGTTACGATAGAAACGTTCTCGAAAAGACAGAAGGTCACTGCAGTCCAATAAAAATGTTTAACTCTGAATAGCTCATCACATCCTATGCACCGAGGATTATCTTCGCCTTTCAACATATATGAATGTGTAAGTTATGTATGACCCTTCCGAAGACGGGCAAGGGCAACTTCGTCTCGGTGGTTGTCTCTATAACCTGGAGACCATTCTCCGATAACACGTTTAACGGAGTGCAATTTATTATTTGTAAATGTTTTCCATTCATCCTGCCACTGAGCTTTTAAAATTTGTTAAATAAATGGTTTATTTCTATTACTAAGACTCTGTTGAACAGAAAGAGAGTCTGAATGGATAACAGCTCTAATTAGCTTGTTTCTTTGAATATATTCGAGGTAGATATCTCGAGCTTCCGCCGAGAATATTGAGGCGTTGTTCGGCAGCCGGCATCCATAGGTTTCATCTTGTGTAACCATGTCCGCGGCAATCTTATCATTATCTTTTGAACCATCAGTATATAAATGCAGAAATGTTTTATATTTTAACTGCAGTTTCGAGAAGGGTGAATGAAAGGTGTAACTGTCTGTGTCTGATTTAACCATTTCATGAAGTGAAAAGTCAATTTCAGGTGAATTCATGAGTCATGGTGGAATTTCTATTGTTCCAAATGACTGAATTTGGTCAATATCAATATTGTGTTTTGTAAAGGAGCGGAAATTCGAATACCGAATGATGGGATGGTTTTTGGTTTGTTTTGAAGCAATGCTTTATATTTTGGATCAAATACAAGTGAAAAAGCAGGATCTGAAGGATTTGACTTTAGCTACCATTTTCATCTGTTCAAATTTGTAGTCGATTCAACTCGTGACTTTGGCACGCGCATTCGTTGTATCATGTCTTTCTGTGGATAGTCGATAACATGTCCACGGTCTTTATTTTGCATTTACATTGAATTTACAGATTGTATAATGCCTCCAAGGTAGGTAAAACAAATTGGGATGATATATACACAAAGTGACACCCGTGTCTAAGTTATCAATTCGCTTTAGATCCAGATAAGGTACCCCTACACTCCTTCATCCCTTCTCCACTCATTCTTTTATCTTATCCCTCTTCCATCGCCAACTGGCAGGTGTAGTATCCCTCTACACCATACACTCTTACACTGAAGCCACCTCACCTGCGCCCTCCTAGCCACGCCCATCTCTTCTACATTCGTCTCTAGCATTTTAGTCGCTCTCCAAGAAATTCACCCATCGTACCTCTCATCTCTCGCAAATAATTTATTTAATATATACAAGAAAGTTAGTGTTGCGATTGGTTTTACAGACAGGTTAAGTACCTGTAGAAGTTGTACCAAACAAACAAATGAGATACAGGCAGGTGAGGTTCAGTAGCTGTATAGGTCGGACAAGTATGGTTTTATCGGTCTCATGCTTAACACATGAATTTACCTTCCCGTTTCGCATTGCACGGATAAAACACTTATTTCCCGATGCGTTAAGTCGGCCAGGTGCTTTTGTTCCGGCAGAAAAGGAACATCTACAATGACGCATCATTTCATAATATTGCTGTACACGTCTACTGTAAGCATGTCTATGAAAAATCTGCTCTGTCATTCGTTATCGAGATATCAAATAATGTTGATGAACGGTCAAATGAATTTGGTATCTCATCAAAGCTAGTCTGTCATAAGCGAGATATCATCGAATGCCAAACCAGGCCAAAGTTTCATGACCAAATAGTGATGCGCGTCTGCTTTGAAGCTTGCACTCTTGAAACCGATCTCTACCAGAGTTGTTGTTTCTTACATTCACAATACAGTTAGTACACATGTTTCTTGTGTAGATCCGCATTTGAGCACGAGGTTCACTTCCTTTCATCAGTTCATGCAAGCAACAAAATAGAGTCAACCTTATAAACAATGTTTTCCAGTTTGCGAATTGCTCGGAAACCGTAGAAATCCAATACCACTGAAAAAAACGATAGCTTTCTACACCATAATCTAACTCATCCGAAACAATTATCATTATCATGACTTTCTTAACGGCCCGTCAACTCATTAAAGATCATTAGGGCCATCAAACGGTAAAACACACAGCGATCCAAAAAAGAAATAACATCATGTAGTAATGTTATTTTGACATATTATTTTAATATATGTGCTATATACATTTGTTATTGTTTTGATATTATCGTTAGGCGTTCGCGTGTCAGAACCGGAAGTCAGCCTTTCGTATTATTCGGTACCTGGCGCATTGCGACATGGATTTTAGCGCGCGCCCGAGTACGGCACGTGAAAGTGAGAGTGGAGTTCGAGATGTTGTGACGTTTGTATTTGTAAACCAGTTTCTCCAGTCTGTCTTATCTATCATTAGTATATTTACGGGGGATATTGGGTGATCTAGGAGCGCACTGGTCATTTTGGGCAGAGCGGCCGATGCGGCAACATCAACAAGTTACCTAGAAATAATTGCTATTTGTGGGACACTAGCTGTAGGAGTAATTGTAAGCTTCGAGCCAGAATTGGTGCTCGGCGGACTTCGTCCGGGAAAAAAACCTTCGCATTGAAGTGGTTTATTTTTATTACTATCTGTAACAATAAAAGCTTAAACGAACCCACGGAATTTTGGTTTTGGTATGCGAAGAAGCACGACTCCTACAATCACAAAAGTTAAATGGCAAAATACAAATGCTAAAAAATTCAAATAAGCATAAATGAAAGGAATCAGTTGATTTCAATTTGAATTTTACTTAAATTTCAGAATTTTAGAGACCGCAGTCGATTCAGATTTAAAATTGAACACCATCGGAGCGGAAGCTACACCAGACACCAGCTGCAATGAGGATATCCATCCTCCTCGATCTTCTTCGGGGATATTTCGAGTGAAGGCAGCTGCATCTGATGAGGCTGTTTCTTCCAACCACGACATTGCTGGTCTCAACAAAGATAGTGTATGCTGTCTTTTAAACTCCAAGATACGAGTAATTAATGATCTCTCTGACCTGCCTGAGGACACTCCCCTACCGTTTATCATCCGTTCAGCTGAGACAAACACTGTTCAGGGTGAGTCCTATCCTTCATAACATGTACATTCTTCAAATCAATTCAGATATAGACATACGCAGTATTAAAAGTTTCAATTAAAATGTAAGTAGGTATGATACAATTTACCAATATTTGAAAACTCCATTTTGCGAGTTTTTCATGTCATCAGGAAGCATAAAAATGGAGTTGTATATACTTAACTTTTAATTATCATAAAGTAACATTAAGATATAAACTTTTCCTTTGCAGGTGTTGCTATTCGAGGCTCGTATGCCCAAGACAATTTTGGTCCAATGTTCAGGAATACGCAATGTACTAGCATGGCCTATCAATCACTTGCATACAAGAAGGTTATTGGAGAGCCAGACACATGGAATTACCGTGACATTGACGCGATTCTCCAACAAGGTCATCTTTTACACACCCACTTCCGGAATGTGATGAAGCTGAGCATAAATGAGGACAATCGAATCGCAGTTCACGAACTTCCATCGTCATATGAAATCCAGGTCCTTCCACCTTCTAGTAATGCAACGCCTTCCACCATTCCTGAAGGAGGGAAAGTAAAAATGACAAGTTCGACTGCCATCGATGGACCATATGCATATGCCAGCCAGGAAATAGCAGATAGTTTCGGAAATATTGCTCCAGAATTCCCAATATTCTTATTACAGACATTTACTACTGACAATGCAGACGAAGTCAATATTATTCTGACTATTGGAGACTTCTCCATGGCTCTATGGAGGCGGAGAAATGATAATGTGATCTGGCTATTCGACAGTCACAGGAGAGCTTCGACGGGTTTGAGACATATAGTTCCCATATGGGAATCGGACTACTACGACAATGGAGCTGCATTGGCTCGATCGTTTACTAGAGTCTCGGAATTACTGGAGCATATAACGGAACTGTATGGGGAGAACTTCCTTTACAACGTTAGATTCTTCAATCTGGAAATGGTAATGCAAATCGTTATGTTTCTTCTTCTCTCACCAGTGTAGATATTATCTATATTTTGTTAACATTTTTCGTACACCATAGTTAGTGAGAATATTAAAGACGCATACGACGTTTTGTACCCATTATTCAGAACCACTTATATATAATTCAATTAACCTATTTCAAAGTGAGAAAGAGAATAAATGCACTGGTAGGATACTTCATAGCTAATTATTGAATTCGATTACGTTATTCATTGTATCCAAGTTGTAGCTTTTGATTTTGTTTTAAGAAAATTGTTGAAATTAAAACCAATAATGAAGTATAAAAACCACAAAACTCTTTGTTAAAGGTTGAAGATAACAATGCTGCTGTAGCCAAGACAGATGCGGACGAAAATGGGGTAGATGTTACAATCTGTGACAAGGAAACTTCCCCGGAGTCAAGTCGTTCTGGTACTTCATTTGAAGGTATACATATACTGTAGCTGAATGCCATAGTTCTTGATACAATCTTGATTTTATCAGATAGAGAAAAATGGTTTATTTTCTAGATATACAACATCAACGTATAGTACTTCTTTCAAAATATGCAGGAATATCTTTTCAGAATATCAATTTTTGCGTAAGAAAAACTATAATTTCTTTGTCTTTCATAGACCACGGCGACATGTGATATTTTATTACATTGTACCATTACTTGCCTCAGAGAACGAAATAGGCTACGACAACAGCATCAATTTGTCTATTATCACCGTTAAATTAAAATTCAGAGGAGAAACCGCCTTGAAGGAAGTCATTTTGAGAGAACATGGGGCATGGAGGAGTGGAGAGAGAGTAGCATTGTTATCATGGAGCATCAACCTTTAATACATTGTTCCTTTATTAAGATGCATGACTTTCGAATAAGTATATGGTTATATAATGATATCCTCTGCTAGCTTACTTATTTTACCCGTATGTCTTATAATTGATAATATTGAAATAAACGCATAATTCAATTGTGAATCAACATTAATATCCACATAGAAAGATGCGTTTTTGTGTAATCTTTAAAAAAGGTCATCAACTGAGAAATCAAATATAATCTACAACTCATCGAAAATATTATATTTCCCTATTATTTATACTTACTTTCATACCTTGTTCTCGATAGAGATTTTGACTAAGACGGATAAAGGATTACATGTTGGGTGTTGTCATTGAACCAGAAGACGTTTACTCTTCCAAAACACATTTTCTTATTTTCCTTGTACGTTTTCAGAAGTCTCCTTGTAAATATTTATTTTTTTCACATTTTATCATAGTTTTCTAAAAATTGAGATACGATTATGATTATATTGACCTACTGGTAATTTCTTATTGATTTTTTGTTGATGAAGCAGAATGTGCTGTTTTCTGTAGTTACGAAAACCTCTCTATGTAATTAGGAGCGTTGTAAAAACGACTATACACGTAATTTAAATTCTGAATGATTTCCAATCATGCCATCGATAATTGTATCATTTTTTAAGCCGGAATAATGTAGACAACGCAGCAGACGAGAAGTTGGGGAGATGAGCTTCCAACTGCTGATAACGTGAATGGTTTTAGAATTTTTCTATTATCACCGTTAAAATTAAAATTCAGAGGAGAAACCGCCTAGAAGGAAGTCATTTTGAGAGGACATGGGACATGGAGGAGTGGAGGGGGAGTTCCATTTGGATTTGAAATCTTGGTTATGTGGTTTGGACTCAAATTAACAAAAACGACGGGTACCATTGTTATCATAGAGCATCAACCTTTTATACCTTGCTCCTTTATTACGATACTTGACTTTCGAATAAGTATATGGTTATATAATGAAAGCTCGGCTAGCTTACTTAATTTACCATATGTCTTATAATTGATAATGTTGAAATATACGCATATCCACATAGAAAGATGCGTTCTTATGTAATCTTAAAAAAAGATCATCGACCGCAAAAACAAATATAATATACAACTCATCGAATATATTTTATTTCCCTACTACTTATAATTACTTTCATACCTTGTTCTCGTTTGAAAACATGGTATTTTTTCCTGAGATTAACTTAAGATTACATGGTGGACGTCGTCGATGTACCAGAGGACGCTTACGCTTCCGGAACACATGGTTTTATTTTCCTTGTACTTTCAGAAGTCTCAGTGTAAATTCATATTTTTTTCTAATTTATCTATAACTTTCGTGAATTTGAGTTTGGATTATTATTATGTTGACTTGCTGGTGGTTTTTCATTGATGAAACAGAAAATGCTGTGGTTTCGAAAACCTCTTTCAGCCGGAACAATGAAGACAAGGCAGCAGACGAGACGTTGGGGTGATGGTCTTCCAACTGTTGATAATGTTACTGGTTTCAGATGTGACGTCTTCCTGATGTCAGCTTGGACGTACGGATTGACGCTTAACGAGATCATTCATGCTATGCACGATTGTTTTAAACCTTTCATCAGAAGATATGTATCCTCTTTTATTCGTTATTGCCGTTGTTTAAAAGATATATCATGCCGAAGGTGTTGTATAATTACATGTCTTAGATTATAGTAAAATATCATAGATAAAAGGTCATATAAGACTAACACCCTTTACTATGCGTTCTGAATATGTTTAAATGTCGACTGTTCTGTTCAAACGTCAAGTGTTTTGTCACTTCCGTGATTGAAAGCAATAATGCCTCTTACAGGAAGCGAATATTTTCAAAGGTAAGATGTTCGTTTCTATAATGTGTTTCTTATATTGGAAGCAGTTCCGTTATAAAGATTAAATTCAACCTTGTTGCTGTTTTTGTTTTAACAGGCTTCTGTCTTCATGCTCAAGAAACTATTATCAAAACAGTTTGATACAAGATGACAATTAATAGACAATTTTGAATACATTTTCCATCAAATTAGTGAAATTTGTGTGAAATGTTCCATTCATTGAAACTTGGCACATTTAAACTTTTAACAGATTACAGATGACATGTATTTAGTAATATGATGCGTTATGACAAAAAGGTCTAGTTTAGGTACAGAAAATAATACTGTAGGCTACATAGAACATATGACTTCAACGTAAAGGTACATTCTACTAATTTAATTGTTCACTCCTACCAGAGATCTAACCTAAATGTCTTCCAGATGCTGCTTCTGAGAAATCTTCAAACAAGTACGAAGTATGATGAAGTATTCCCCAAACGACTGCAGAAACCTGACCCACTTTCGCATACGTACTATTCCGTACATTGCTAAAATCTAATGCACGCAACAAAACCAAGATTCGATCGTAAGAACGAGCAATGAATATACTTATATGGTTATATTTTACGAGTATGTCTTATAATTGATAACCTTGAAATCAACGCATATTTCAATTGTGAATCAACATTCATATCCATATAGAAAGATGTATTCTTGTATAATCTTTAAAAAAAAGATCATCAACCGAAAAATCAAATATAATATACAACTCATCGAACATATTCTATTTCCCTACTACTTATACTTACTTTTATACCTTGTTCACGTTTGAGAACATGGTATTTTTTCCCTCAGATTGACCAAAGTTTACATAGTGGATGCAGTCGATGTACCAGAAGACGCTTGCTCTTCCGGAACATATTTCCTCATTTTCCTTGTACTTTCAGAAGTCTCAATGTAAATTTATAATTTTTTTTCATATTTTTCTATAACTTTCATGAATTTGAGTTTGGATTATGATTATGTTGACTTGCTGGTGTTTTTTCATTGATGAAGCAGCAAATGCTATGTTTTCTGTGGTTACGAGAACTTCCCTTGAAATAAGGAGCTTCGTAAAAACAAATACACATGAAGTTTACATTTTTAGTGGTTTACAATCGTGCCATCAATACTTTAATGATTCCTTAAGCCGGAATAATGCAGACAAGGCAGCAGACGAGACGTTGGAGAGATGGTCTTCCAACTGTTGATAATGTTAATGGTTTCAGATGTGACGTCTTCCTGATGTCAGCTTGGACGTCCGGATTTGACGCTAACAGAGATCATTCATGCTATGCACGACTTTAAAAAACATTTCCTCAGAAGATATGTATCCTCTTTTAATTATGTATTTATCCCTTGTTTAAAGATATATCATGCCGAAGGTATTGTATAATTACATGTCGTAGATTATAGCAAAATATAATAGAAAAAGGGTCATATAAGACTAACACCATGAACTATGCGTTCTGAATATGTTTAAATGTCGACTGTTCTGTTCAAACGTCAAGTGTTTTGTCACTTCCGTGATTGAAAGCAATAATGCCTCTTACAGGAAGCGAATATTTTCAAAGGTAAGATGTTCGTTTCTATAATGTGTTTCTGACATTGGAAGCAGTTCCGTTATGAAGAGTAAATTCAACCTTGTTGCTGTTTTTGTTTTAACAGGCTTCTGTCTTCATGCTCAGGAAACTAGTATCAGAGTAGTGATGTCAGTGGAAAGCTAGACAATGGAAGGAATGGAACACATGCAAAACAAACAGTTTGATACAAGATGACAATTAATAGACAATTTTGAATACATTTTCCATCGAATTAGTGAAATTTGTGTGAAAATGTTCAATTCATTGCAACATGCCTCATTTAAACTTTTAACAGATTATAGATGACTTATGTATTTAGTAATATGATGCGTTATGACAAAAAGGTCTAGTTTAGGTAAAGAAAATAATACTGTAGGCTACATAGAACATATGACTTCAACGTAAAGGTACATTCTACTAATTTAATTGTTCACTCCTACCAGAGATCTAACCTAAATGTCTTCCAGATGCTGCTTCTGAGAAATCTTCCAACAAGTACGAAGTATGATGAAGTATTCCCCAAACGACTGCAGAAACCTGACCCACTTTCGCATACGTACTATTCCGTACATTGCTAAAATCTAATGCACGCAACAAAACCAAGATTCGATCGTAAGAACGAGCAATGAATATACTTATATGGTTATATTTTACGAGTATGTCTTATAATTGATAACCTTGAAATCAACGCATATTTCAATTGTGAATCAACATTCATATCCATATAAAAAGATGTATTCTTCTATAATCTTTAAAAAAAGATCATCAACCGAAAAATCAAATATAATATACAACTCATCGAACATATTTGATTTCCTTACTTCTTATACTTACTTTTATACCTTGTTCACGTTTGAGAACATGGTATCTTTTCCCTCAGATTGACCAAAGATTACATGGTGGATGCAGTCGATGTACCAGAAGACGCTTACTCTTCCGGAACATATTTCCTCATTTTCCTTGTACTTTCAGAAGTCTCAATGTAAATTTATAATTGTTTTCAGATTTTTCTATAACTTTCATGAATTTGAGTTTGGATTATGATTAAGTTGACTTGCTGGTGTTTTTTCATTGATGAAGCAGAAAATGCTATGTTTTCTGTGGTTACGAGAACTTCCCTTGAAATAAGGAGCTTCGTAAAACAAATACACATGAAGTTTAAATTTTTAGTGGTTTACAATCGTGCCATCAATACTTAAATGATTCTTTAAGCCGGAATAATGCAGACAAGGCAGCAGACGAGACGTTGGAGAGATGGTCTTCCAACTGTTGATAATGTTACTGGTTTCAGATGTGACGTCTTCCTGATGTCAGCTTGGACGTACGGATTTGACGCTTACCGAGATCATTCATGCTATGCACGATTGTTTTAAACCTTTCATCAGAAGATATGTATCCTCTTTTATTCATTATTGCCGTTGTTTAAAGATATATCATGCCGAAGGTATTGTATATTGGAAGTCGTAGATTATAGTAAAATATCATAGATTAAAGGTCATATAAGACTAACACCCTTTACTATGCGTTCTGAATATGTTTAAATGTCGACTGTTCTGTTCAAATGTCAAGTGTTTTGTCACTTCCGTGATTGAAAGCAATAATGCCTCTTACAGGAAGCGAATATTTTCAAAGGTAAGATGTTCGTTTCTATAATGTTTCTTATATTGGAAGCAGTTCCGTTATGAAGAGTAAATTCAACCTTGTTGCTGTTTTTGTTTTAACAGGCTTCTGTCTTCATGCTCAAGAAACTAGTATCAGAGTAGTGATGTTAGAGGAAAGCTAGACAATGGAAGGAATAGAACACATGCAAAACAAACAGTTTGATACAAGATGACAGTTAATAGACAATTTTGAATACATTTTCCATCAAATTAGTGAAATTTGTGTAAAATGTTCATTTTTTAACAGATTATAAATGACTTATGTATTTAGTAATATGGTACGTTATGACAAAAAGGTCTAGTTTAGGTATAGAAAATGATAGTGTAGGGTACATAAAGTAATGACTTCAACGTTATGGTACATTCTCGTAATTTAATTGTTCACTCCTACCCGTGATCTTACCTAAATGTCTTCCAGATGCTGCTTCTGAGAGATCTTCAAAGAAGTACGAATCATGATGAAGTATTCCCCCAACGACTACAGAAATCTGACCTACTTTCGTATACGTCCTATTCCGTACATTGCTAAAACCTAATGAACGCAACAAAACCAAGATTCGAGCGTAAGAACGAGAAATGAATATACTTGTTTTGAAATTCAAATCAGTCAATAGTGTGTGAGGAAACCCATTTATTTCGTCAAAGGGAACTCAAAGCAAAATCAATTTCTACCGCTGTTACATTTGATTGACAGATAACACGGCTTTAATCTGGATCGTTTCCAACCTGAATAATGTCTAAATTATCACATTTATTTGCAATGTTTGTATTGGTCAACATACTTGGTTCGCCATTACTGTAACATGTTGTTCTAGATTTGGATGAAGACAAATGTGTGTAATTCAACATGCGACATATCATTTACTGTTCCGATGGTAACACTTGAGATCGTGATATTTCCCTTTTTGTCCTGTTCCTTTTTCCAATGTTCGTTTCCCCCTTGATTACTCTCTCATATGGCCATATAATTTGGACAGACGGAGAACGGTAAACCTCATAAAATTGTTTACCTTTTCATGAAATTTAGGAATAATTTTTAATTTAATTTGATAAATAATCTAATTCGTTTCAAACAAAAAATTGAAGCTACACCAGAAAGTCTCATCCTTTCAATATCCTTCATGGTTATCTAGAGCGAATGTATCCGTATCTGACGAGGCTAATGTTTCTGATCACCGCATAGCTGAACCTTACCGAGAACACTGCACAACTGTTTAGTTTAAGCAAACACTGTCCAGGATGAGTACTGTCCTTCATGACATATACATGTTTCAATTGAATTCATATGCAATGTGGCAAGTTTTACTTAGAGATATATGATTCAATATTCAAAATAATATAATATTCTTATTTATTATTACAGTCTTAACGGCCCGTCAACACATAAAAGCTCATTAGGGTCATAAGCCGATGAAACACACAGCGATCCAAGAAGGAAAAAAACACCAAACAAAATAAAAGGTAAAAGACAAATGCTAACAATCTTAAATGGTTATATTATCACGCAAGATTAAAATGTTAAGTCATAGTCTATAACATAGTCTAACAGATAACCTAGAATTTAATGAATCTCAACAGTTTCAAAAAAGAGTCAATGCAGTCCATCAAAAATGTTGAACGGTGAATGACTCATCACATCCTATGCATCGATGATAAACTTCGCCTTTCAACATATAAGAATGTGTAAGGTATGCATGGCCCATCCGATGGTGGGCAAGGACAACTTCGTCTTGTGGGTTGTCTCTATAGCATGGAGACCATTCACCGATGACGGGTTTTGCGGAGTGCAATTTATATTTGGTATATTGATTCCATTCCTCCTGAGCTGTTAAACATAATTTTATAAAAGCTTAAAAATCAGTAAAATGAAGTTAAAAAAACAGGTTGTAACGATAAAGCTTCATGAACCCAGCAAAAAGCAATTCGAAAGTTGAAGGCTAATTCATAATATAGTTTTAATGTAACGGAATGAAAGTATTTTCTATATTTCTTTATTGCTGAAAAGAGACACAATAACGGAGAAATTTGAGGTGTATTATTTGCCCTCATTTGTATCTAATCCTTCCGTTTTCATTAATTCTCATTACGACAAAAATTCTTCGATTGCAGGAATTGCTATTCGAGGCCCATATGCCCAACATAATTTGGTCGACTGTTCAGCAATACACAGTGTACAAGTACGGCGAATCAATCACGTGCATACAAGAAGGTTTTTGGAGAGCCAGACACATGGAATTACCGTGACATTGACGCGATTCTCCAACAGGGTCATCTTCTACAAAGCCACTTCAGGAGTTTGATTAAGCAGAGCACGAATGAGGACAATAGAATCGCAATTTACAAACTTCGTCATACAGAGTTCTTCAAGCACTGCAATACCAGTCACTAATGTCATAAGACAGACAGGAGAAATGACATGTTAAACTGGCATCGTTGTAATATATGCAAATGCTACCTAAGAAATAGCAGAAAGTTTCAGAAGTATTAAAGACATATAACACCGATAATGGTGACGAAGTCAACATGATAGTGACCATTGGAGACTTCTTAAAGGCTTTACGAAGACGGAATAATGACACGGAAAGATTCCGACAGATCTGAGGCAACTCTCTGTGAAAATATTTCATATCTAATACGGAGTCTTATGAGTTGCTTGTTTAACAAATACATGCTGTTTGTAATTTACCGATAGGAGACAAGCCTTTTGGCTTAGCATGGTCTGTCACCATTTTAGGCTGTCTATCAAGATTATCAGCATTGTCATTGTTGTTTGCTGGTATATCTTAAATAAAGTTAATATTTGTTTGACCTATTTTTCGAGTTTTTTCTTCTGAATTTTAACACTGATTGGATACAGCGATATGTTGAGTACTAATACACGTATTTTTTATTTGCTTTCTTCTTTACTAAGAACTTTGACGTGTGATTGCTTAGGCATTGAACTATCGTTGAATGACATTTATGAGCGTCATAACCGACAGTTTTGACACCAAACAAAGTAGCCCTAGCAATAAATATCATAGCAAGACTGTAATACTTTATTAACATTCCCTACATGATGTTATCTTATACAGATGAGATCTCAACTTCGACTCCATTGGTGTACTTTCGTCGTTTTCTGTGAAAAATCATGGCGTCAGTGTGCATATTTGGTTACGCATCAGATATTATTTATAATACATTACATAAAACACTTCGATTTCGCGAATACTTTATTTTGCAAACTTACTTACCTCTGCAGACATATATCTGATTTCGTGAACGGTGGCCTAGAAATGACTAAATTTAAAATGACGAGCTTCTCGATACATGGATTCCGTATTGGTAACCGAATCAGCATGGATCAAAAGTTACTTCCTTTCAAATGATCGCGAGGGATTTGAATTCGCGATTGGCTTTCCTCTGTGTTATCTCAAGAAATAAAACCCACAGAAAGTAAGTGATCAACAGTATTTCAAACTATACTTCGTTGTGGAGTTTGTGGAGAATTTATTTATCGGCTTCGTACAAGTACTTGTATTTACCTCTCCCAATTCCAATATCCCCGTTAAGTGATATTTGGTCATCTCTCACTATTAACGCTTAGCTAAGACCCTCATGGCTTTTTAGTCATGACAAAATTTGAAATGTCGAAATAAGGTGTCTCCGTCATCATGATCCGTGCATTTAAAATGTCCCTTTGTCGATATTAAACTTCCATTCTTGACAAGTCATGCTAATTATTCATCTCACCTCAGGACGTGTATGTTTCGACCACATTTTTTAGATTTTTAGCTAATACACCATATTTTAATATTCAACATGTATATATTACTGATATTGTAAGTCGAGATCGTTCATTTCTGACAATGTCATAAAAAATAAATCAAGACGGACGGTGACTTTGATACCGAAATGTAATTTCAATTACAAACAAGATAATAACATATATCTATAATTTTTTTCTATAACACGGATTTAGACAACTGAACGACTTAACCAAGGTTAAAATAACTCACAGGGACATTAAATATCTGCCGCAGGCTGTGGTTGAACAAAGGAAAATAACCAGGATTGTGTCTTTACTGATTATAATCATGGTATCGGGAAGTACAAGGGATTGAAATTCACTTAAGTCATAATCCAGGGGATTTGTCAAAGTAGGGGGTGCTTATCTAATGTGTTAAGGGCTGACACTGTTAACGTAATATAGCTTTTGTTTGGTCGGGTATATACCGATAAAGCACAATGACAAATCATAGGGTTTTATGTTCGATTATCTAAAGTAATTTTATAGAAAAACCAGACAGGATTAAACAATGTAGCGTTATGGGACAAAATAAATAATGGGTTAGAAACAGGAAAAAGTTACACAAGGAAATGTGTATAGTGTTTTCATCATTGACCGACTCTCCGATAATTTACATCAACTGAAAAAGTAGACCGGGGTTTCTACACTAGGCTGATTAAGAGACTAACAAACTATCAGTTTCATCACATTGACTCTCTGTCTGCCCCTACATCTCCTCTTCTCTGTGTGTGATTGCATGCAAGTCCACCACAATTTTGGAAATATCCACTTTCCATTAACATGTAGGACAAATGCCTTCCGCTATAACATATACGACGTGTATTTACTTGCCTCAGCTCATTCATTGCCTATGAATATAGAAGTTTTGTAACCTGATATACCTTTTCCCATTAAATTCTTCAATTAGTGCCAGATATATATTTCACTTGGGTTAATTATCATTACACCTGTTAATGCCGGTTCAAATGATAGGGACATTGACTTAAAGACTCTACACTCGTACTGTGGTCTTCGGAGCTATCAGTTTCATTATAAATGGCGTCAGTCAAATTAAACGATTTCTTTTTAACATTTCGTGATCATTTAAAGTAATACTGTTATCACAGACATTTGGTTTGCTATTCATATAATTGGTTACAATTTTAAAAGAACTCCAGATAAATCAGTCGCCCCCTTGAAGATCTACTTTAATCAAAACGTTATCAGCACTGTCGATACTTTTTCTTCTTATTAATAAATAATTAATTAAACGTTTAATTTTTTGCAGTTACTTGTATTACGTTACAGACATCAACATGCATATGGACTATGGAAGAACACGACATGGAGACTACAATAATTTCACAGATATACCCCTGTTGAAACTGTTTATTTATTTACAAATACTGTAGGTCATGTTTATTATAACCAGTTCCAAGATTTATTCGAACATTTGTAAACGAAAAAATAAATCAACCGTAATTAATAATTCCTTAACTAAAAACATTTTTCGAAGGAAACTTGGGCTAGGATATTTATTATTGTTCATTCAAATTGAAGGTTAGATGACTTTCCGCTATTGATAATTGGAAACTATTTGTACATATACAAGATATGTTGAATAACTGAATCAGAAAACAAAATATCTCATCCTTTGTCGATTTAAAGGTATATATTAGTATGGACTTGGCCAAACTAGATATAGAAGACTGCTAGAGTGATCTCCCTTGTCACGAATGAAACATTTTAATCTCGGAATATTGTGAATGAATATGAAAGGCAATGCCTATGAACTCAATGATATTCTTCAGGTACTTAAGTCATAAAAACATTTTTGGTTTTTACATTTTTTACACAAAATATACATCAATAGATGTCTTTCGACACCATATTGATTCCGGATCACAGCGACTAAACGTGATTGGCTTTACATTGACTGGTTTAAAACCATCTGCCTTGGCACATTGTTTCTTCTATCTATATTTTAGTTTAATTTTGTTCCCACTTTTCAAACAAAAAAATTAGATGAACAGGAAATTGAAGCTACATTTTTTCCTGATTGGTGAAAATCTACGTTCTGAAATAAGATTTTGTTATTACGGATTTGAAATTTTCAACATTTATGTTTAAGTTAATTTGAATTTTGTTAACTTTAAACAATGCTGTATTCAAACCTCAATGATTGAAGGGCTATTGTCCAAGTCAGGATGATTTTTAACCAGTCGATACGACGGAAGTGTTTTGTTTTTGCCTCGTAATGACAAAGACAAAACGCTAGTCCCCATATTACCTATGACATCATGGCGGCCATATTGGTTTTTTGACCTTCTTGATTATGTTCATATGCCATCTTCACACTTTGCCTTATTTAAGGCTTTGGAGATTTTGAATAGTAGTTGCTGCAATAATGATTAATGAGTAAGAATGATAAGAACTAGAATTTATTATCGACGATTTGTCAGGCTTTTTACGATTACTGGCTTCAATCGGACACTTCTAATTTCAGTTCTAGAAATCAACCGTAAGACTCGTAGTGAATAAAGAGAGAAAATGTAAAGATGCCATGTTTAGTCGGCGTTTACGACCATACAATGTGGGTAGTGAATATATAGTGAATACGCTCTATCTGCAAAACTGGATATAGTTACAAAATGTTACAATGTAAGGATGCAAATCTTATTGCCTCCTACGATGATGCAATGAGGGAAACAAGTTCGATTCTTACACCCTACCTGCAGAGCAGGTAGCACCAACCGCCATTAATAAAGAATATTATGTCCCGACAAGAGGACAGAACCCAAAACCTTCTTCACATGGGAACGCTCAGCTGAGGTCAAGGAAGAAGTCAGGAAGGAAGAAGGTCATCAGTTAGTCGTCCGTTACTATCATAACAATATTGTTACAATTTCATGCATATTTGGCCTGGTGATTTGTTTTAAGCACTTCGTTGCCCTTCTTTTCAGCATACTACATGCCAGATATGAAACTGTGCATCTTTGTTATTGAGAGGGAGGCATTGAATGAGTTTATTCACAATTGACCGTTCCGATCTTGAATATAGGGTCACGGTCATCGATATAATCGAACTTGATAGGCAAATATCTGCGCATATGGCAAATATATCAAGACTCCAGACAATATTTATGATTTGTTGTATCAAAATCAAACAGATATTTTTTTTCAAATATTGTTAAATCAAAATAGTGTTAACGAGAACACAATATGATGTTGTTGGTTGAAAAGCAACAAAACCAAAATTATAATAACTCTTTTCAAGGAAGACATCATTATAAAGCTCGGGTTTTAGAAAACCCAGTGAAAACTGAGGAGGAGATGACCATACAAAATTAAGACGCTAAATTTAAAGGCCAAAAACCAAATTTAATCCACACAGTACAATGTGCAGAGCTTACCCTGTTTGCAGAACTGGATGAAGTTTCAAAATGTCACAAATATAAAAACTGCAACGGTCCGTTATTAGATCCTACCCATAAGATAGACGACATTAAGCAGCAAATGACGTTTATAAAG